AACTAGGGCTTAACTCATATGTTCCCCATTCATAGCCTCATCCTCAAGCTGAAAGCAAAGGCTTCAAATCATAGGAAGGAGGCATCGGACTTAAGAAAACAAATCCTCTTGCAGTTTGGGGTCCACAGAATGAGCAAGCAGAAGTTTCTTCTCTATGGACCACCTGACTCAAGTGCTCAGAACTGTGAGCAAGTTTGGAAATTTTGCTGAACGTGAAATGCACACAGTTGGCACTCATCATCTCTGACTTGGATTCAGAATCATGGAGGGGAGGGCACTGGTCCTCTAGTAGAAGTGACCTGACGGAACAGAACGCGGGAGCTTGGGGAAGGTGGAGGTGGCCAGAGCTTGAAATTCGCTCCTAAAGGTGAAGTGGGGGCTGGGGGAGTGGCAGAAAAGCCAGACGTCCAGAGACGTCCTCCTCCGACGTGCAAATGACAGGGACAGGAACGCAGATTAGAAGTCAGCGAAGTTCCCGGCCCTTGAGAATGGAGAATTGCGCTTGGTAATGCCATCACCGGCCCAGAACCACCAGGCACAGCGGTTCACCTGTCCGGCGAGCTTCGCCGGCTTCTTCCCAAAAGGCCAGGCTGAGGGTGCCACCCACCAAGCAGCCCTGAGGTTGGTCGGAGGTGCAGGAGGTGGAACGGGAGCTCTTACTCCAGGTACCAAACAGAGCCGAGAAAAAGAGGGGAAAGAAATCGAAAAGAAAGAGCAAATGAAGCGGAAGTTTCAAGGCCCTCTGCGAGGAATAACAGTATAAATAACCGAAGACGTCTTGTAAACACTGCGGTCATAACCCCGAACATTAAACAGCCCGGGGGCATCTGGCTCATCGGCCGCTGCGGGCTGCGCTGGGGCAGCGAGTGAACCCGGTTCCAGGCTCCTCGGCCTCGCCTCTCTGTTTATCTCTACTTAATCTTCCCCGACGAGCTGTTCCGTAGCCTGGACGATGTTTAAATTAAAACCCAGTCTTCCGGAAGTCGTGGCGGGGAGCTGAAGGCGCGGACTACCCGTAACAGTAACCGAGAGGCAGGCACGATTGGTGTTGGAAGTAACTCCTTAATTACTAAGAAGAAATCGATAATGTATGTTGCAGCACTCTCTAGATGTTAACACACATCCTCAAGGTTACGGAATTTACACTTCTCGTGACTCGCATTACTTCCTCCCATTCTGGCGCTGTGGGTTGTTCGGGCTCCTGTCTGCGGCTACACAGTTGAAAAACGTGAAATTTACCTGAGTGCCCGTGTCATGAATTACACTGCGAATACACGAAAAGCGGATTTTCCTTTTCTGGTGTGCTTTTCCCTCGAATCGTGTCACTGTTGGTAACTTCAACACTGCCCTTTTGGGTTCACGACTGCATTATTTATAATTGTCTTCAAAGTAACCTGCAAACCTGAGACCAGAGTTTCTTTTGGACGTTTCAGTGCAAAATGAGATTTGCACCTTGACAGTGGAAACTGAATCTTTCCCCCTCTCTAGAAATTTGGCTTGAGGTTCAAAAGAACCGCCTTTATTGACAAGCTTCCCCATAGTCCCCAGTTCTTCTGTTACAAATAATTTTTTTTTCCAAAGAAATCACACTAATGTCAGGGCTTTTTAGCAATATAAAGAAAGATTTATTTTTGAAAGTAGCAAAACCTGTTTGAAAAAAATATATATCTTTACGTGAGTTACTTTATAAATGTGACTGTCAAAGTCAGCTATTCTATGATCTACAATTTACAACATATTGTACAAAAGATACACGTCGATATGCTCTTATTATCTATTTATATATTTATAATTACGTATGGCACTTGGACCAGCAAGGCTCGCAGAGTCATTCACGGTAGAAGTTAATAAAGTTAAATAGATGGGAATCTTTGTAAGTACAATTGATCTCCTCTGGTTTGGAAACGAATCTCCTCGTCGCTGTAAAGTGTTCTCGAGGTGGGGGGGGGGAGGGGGCAGGGAGAGGAGCGTCGCGAGGGGGAAGCAGAGACAGAGAGCAGGGAGGGCAGGGGTCGCCTTCCCGGGGCCTGCTCCCCCCGGGAGCGCGCCTTTCCCAGACTCGCACCTCCAAGGTCAGGATGCTGTGGTTCCACATAAGCGGCTCGCGGTCACCACTTCTTTCAGGTCACTCTCGGGTTTCCCGGCCACCATAAAGGGCCACGTCTGCAGGAAAGAAGAGGGCGTTGGAGGTAAGTGGCAACTGGGTGGGGGGGGAGGAGGAGGGATGGGGTGGGCTCAGAGCCTGCGACCAGAGGAGAGGGCGAGATGGGGGCAGGCGGTGAGTTGTAAAAACCCGTTATCTCTGCAATTTACTCGGGGTTCTAGTGCGCCCGGTGGCTGGATAAAGAAAAAGCAGTGTTGGCGCCAAGTCGCTGCTCCGGGTGTTGGAGCAAAGAGGTTCAACCTGGGTTGTAAGGGAACCCCAAGAGAGGGGGCCCTTGGAAAGCCCAAAGTGGCTGGGGCCCTGGCCCAGCCCGGAGGCCGAGGCCACGGTCAGCCTGAGCTGGGCAGCCAAGTAGGACCTCGTGGCAAGTGGATACCGGGTTTGAGGCGAAGCGGCTTTCGGAGGCCTCTTCCGAGGCCGTGGTCAGGTTTCCCGGCCCTCTGGCTTTCACCCCATCTGTTTTTCTCCTGCCAACTTTCATTTCCTCCCTCACACACGCGGGCTTTGACCACAGTTTCTAAACGAACCACTGGTTCTTAAGGGAACAAAAATAATGCTAATAAAAGAATATACGCGCCTATTTTATTTAACATCATCTTCCTACTGGGCTGAGCGAGCACTGCCTTTTCTCTTCTCCCAGGCGTTCTATAACACAGCTCACTCAAGTTTCCTGTTCAGAGATGAACGCAGCAGCAACTGTGAATGAGGTAAGTACTTTCATTTTGGTTCCAGATTTTAAGAAAGCTATCTACTCACCTTATTCGAAAAAAAAAAAAATAAAATAAAACTGTGATCAGAGGGGAAAAATATTTACCAGGGTAAAGTGTGCTTCCGCATCCCCTCCCCCCAATTCCTGAATCCAATTCAGTGAGAAGAGGATTCAAAGCTTCAAACCTCTCCCGCTAGTGCTGGCCGATAAGGCGACTTTCAAGAGGAAGACCTCTCCTTCTTATCATATATAAACAAAGGTGCTAGTAAGTTGTGGTTGTTTTTCTTTAGAGCCTGCAAGTTTTAAAATGAAGTCAAGTCAAAAAGGAGTTAAACCGTGCTTCTTGCATGGCAACATGCATTTGAGAAAAATTTAGCCTCAATGAGCATTCCTTTTTTTTTTTTTTTAAGACAGACTGAAAGGTCATTACTTTTTAAGATAAAATGCAACACGTTTTTAAATCTTGGGCAAGAATGACCTATTCGAATATTATTTATGACACTGATATTTGTGAGAATCTGCGGATTATGCTGATGTGTCCTAGAATTCCTGGGATTTAAAAATGTTAACATGCTTATAAGAGAAGCGCAGAATATTTAAGCAGTTGGGGGCTTAGATGACAATTATGGGGGCACGAGTTTGTCTATACTATCTAATGGTCCTAAATATACTTGGGAGGGAAGCGGAGCTGGGTGTTTTTATGTACAAAAATTAGAGGGGAAAATCAAGGTCTCGTCGGCTAAAAGAAGAAGAAAGATGAATAAAATGCCTTTGTGGGCGCGCAGCATCTCGTCTGGGTTCCCTGTCCCACATCAGCCCTGATGGCGCGGGCGCGGGGGGATCCCTCCTCGCTGCCAGCTCAGGACACTTGCAAAAATCTTAATTGGGCTGCCACGTTAAGCACTTGCATAAATCATCCCCGCTCCAGCGGCTCTCAGCGCGGATCGCCCGCAAAGGTCCCCAGAGGCGCGCGGGGCTGGTGGTGGCCGGGGCGCGCGCGCGCTCACCGCGCCGCGGGCGCGCT